GTGTAAAAAGACAGTATAAGTCATTATAATCTGTAATTATGTCCCCACTGGATGCAACAAATGCCTCGTTTATAATGGGTTTGAATGTTTATGTCTCGTCGCTCCGGCCGGACACGGCATCAACAGTATGGTGAGGGGCGTAACATTTCCGTCACACGCTTGAGGTATTCGGCCAATCACAACGCACTGGATAGCTGGCCAATCAGAGCACACCTCGCTTTTCAGACCGATGAGCTTTGTAAAAATCTACGCGTTTCAGAAAGGCGGGGCATGGAGGAGAAACAATAATGTACAGTATGTGGAAAATAATGTGTTTTTTTAAACTTAAACCGCATAAACATTTCATTACACCAAATACACAAAATAATGTTATTTTTAGCAACATCATATGACCCCTTTAAATATGTGTGCGTCCTTCACATTTATACTTATTACATGCCATCTAAGGCCCTTTGAAAGCCCGGCACTCTGGTTTACAAACCACTTCCACTTTTCAGCAACATTCCCACTGCTCTAAAGAGGCAAAATGAATTGAATCTGTCGTAAATAACAAAATATATGCCAGGAAAGGGGCTGCCTTTGACTCTTAATGATGCACGAATGTACCGAACAACAAAAGGCGGCACATAAGCGCAGCCTTAAGCCGTTCTGAAATAGCATTTTCCATCATTGGCTTGCTGGAGGGACATTGAGTATTTGGGTCTCCATTCAGTGTGATGTGAATGTAATGTGGCAGAGAAGTGGAGTGTAGACCTGTGTTATTGCGAATGCACAGAACTATGCCTCCACAGGATTACGGCATGCAAAATAATGCGTCCTTATCCGGTGCAGCCATAAAGGCATTGAGAAGAGCTGTGCTGGCCGTTTGTCTTCATGCTGCTTCTGAAGCTCTTTATTTCATCAATCGACTGTATGAATGGACTAAAATAAAAATAAAAATTTTTTTATTGTAGTAGCTTAAAGGAATAGTTCACCCAAAACTGAAAATTGGCTTAAAATGTCCTCACTCTCAGGCCATCCAAGATGTAGATGAGTTTGTTTCTTCATATGAAAAGATGTGGAGAAATTCAGCATTACATCACTTGCTCACCAATGGATGCTCTGCAGTGAATGGGTGCCGTCAGATTGAGACTCCAAACAGCTGATAAAAACATCACAATAATCCACAAGTAATCCACACCAGTCCAGTCCATCAGTTAATGCCTTGTGAAGTAAAAAGGTGCACGTTTGAAAGAAAAAAAACCCCATTAACTGTTGCTTATGGCTAAAATACCTCTATCCATAATATTGCTCTCTCCATTCAAAAAGGGTCTTGTCTGATCAAGCACTATTTACAAGATTAACAGTCAAAAACAGTTCTAATCAAATATGCCAGTTAAGGACAACAAAGGATGGACTTCTTCACTGGAGAAAGAGTTATTACGGATTATTTACTGATGGATGAATTTGTTTCTTACAAACATGGACTTCACATGATGTTAATTGATGGACTGGAGTCGTGTGGATTATTGTGATGTTTTTATCAGCTGTTCGGACCCTCATTCTGATGGCACCCATTCACTGCAGAGCATCCATTGTTGAGAAAGTGATGGAATGCTATTCCTCCAAATCTGTTCTGATGAAGAAACAAACTTATCTACATCTTGGATGGCCCAAAGGAGGAGTACATTTTCAGCTAATTGTCATTTTTGGGTGTTCTATTCCTTTAACTCATTTATATAATTCTTATCACAATACACAGGGGTGGACCGGAATTTAATAGCCCACTATATATTCAGATACACTACTAATGTCATGTGCATGCCATAGAGAACTCCAGGCAAACAATGCAGGTGCAAATATCTCCTCTTTCCTACTACTTGTTTCACTTCTGTTTCAGTTTTTTATAACCATTTCTTACTGTGTGTCAGTAAGTTGTTGTTATTTTAGCATGTGTGTTTGGCTCGGTGTTATTTTTTTTAGGATTACTGATAAACTAATGTAGTTTGATTTGTATTAGTTATCTATTTTAGTTTTAGTTACAGTTGTAGTAATGTTGTCATTTTATTAGTTTTTTTATTATGTCTATAAAGGTTTTTTTATTAAGTTTTAGTTTTATTTAATTTGAGTTATTTCAGTACTTCAACATACAAAATGGAAATGAAATAATATATATATATATATATATATATATATTGAATGTATTTATATATATGTACATGTATATGTATATGTGTGTGGCTGTACATACACATATGTAGTTGTTTTTTGGTGTTTGGCTTTGTGTTATGTTAGAATCATTATTATACTCTATTTATTTTGTTTTCATTTAAATGTTTAGTTTTGAAATGTTGTTGTATGCATTTGTCATTTTTATTGAATTTATTTTATTTTCTTAAATGTGTGTATATATATATAGTATTTATAGAGTTTTAGCTTTTAGTTTTAATTACTTTTTCTTATTTGTAAGTCGCTTTGGATAAAAGCGTCTGCTAAATGACTAAAAGTAAAAAGTAAAAGTAAAAAGAATATTAACAGGGTCATATGAAGAGTTCATAGCAAGCGAGCTGTTGGCATTTAGAGAGCACTGAGGGCAGGCATCAAGGGAGCAAACTAGTGAAACGTTGCATGTGCAAAAGAGAAGGTCCGCACACATCCAAAAACGTATTTTAAATGCTAAATTTAAATTTAAATGTTTTAGTTTTGAAGTGTTGTTGTATGCATTTGTCATTTTTATTTAATTAATTTTATTTTCTTAAATGTCTATATATATAATATTTATAGAGTTTTAGCTTTTAGTTTTAATTACTTTTTCTTATTTGTAAGTCGCTTTGGATAAAAGCGTCTGCTAAATGACTAAAAGTAAAAGTAAAGTAAATATCTGAAACTATGATCTTACCGAGCCCAGGGGTCCCGGAGTCCTCTTCGAGCGAGCCTCTGCTGGGTTGCTTCCAGCGGCGTTCCTTCCCATTTCCACACTTTGTAGTCAGGAATGGACAGCTTGCCATGCCCATGTCCATGATCCCCACCCATGACTGCTGTTGAAGAAATCTCAAGTTAAAGTCACTCGACTCAACTGAATCACTCTACTAAAGAGCTTAAGAACGAGTCGATTCAAAAACGCGAGGTTAAAATGCAGACTAAAGCTTGTGAATAATGGCAGTTAAATGCATATTTTGAGATTGCAACGGATCAGTTTAGTTGTACTTCAATGGTTTCGCTTCATGAATTAGCTGTTAAACAATAACTGAATAAAAAATAAACACTGAAGTCTTCAGGTACACACAGAAACAACACAAGCGAACCAGCTTATGACAACAAAACTGCAAACACCGACTCTGGTGCTGTCTTCAGTAGCAAACAAATCCTGCCTCCAGTTTAAACTAGCGTTAATTTAGACGAAAAGCAGTGTAACATTTTGTAAATGTGTTAAATAGCAGCATAATTACCTTTTTTAAAGCAAAGTGACCTCCAACTTGAACGCGCAATCAATCCAGGAAGTTAAGTTACTACTTCCTGTGAAGAGGACGTGTCACTGCGCATTCGAATTAAATACCAAATTATATGAAACGGGTATACATGTTGTAAAAATGCATACTAAAATGTTATTACAATAATCTGTTATTCAATCTTTCAGAAAAGATTTTAACTATTCGACGTTTTTGATAAAACAATGACAGAACCTTTATTTTGACACGTTTTTCCAACTTCCCGTCCACATGTTTGAATGAACAATTTGGCGCATGCGCACTTTCAGTTTCCAAACTCGGGACCATGGCAATTTTATTGAAATGATCGTTATATTGTTATATGTTCACAGAAATTTTCTTAATATGCATAGTTGTTTGTCCTTTCCGTAGGCAGCCGAGTAAATACGTTTACACATTTCTATTTGAGACGCTCACCTTGTGAAAGGCGTCGAACGGGGAAAAAAAACTCCCAGCAGGTTTTTTTTTTTTAGGTTATAACTTATATTTATTGTATTTAATTTTACTTTAACTATGGGCGTAGTTCTGCGGAATCTGCAGAACGTGGTTCCCTTGAGACGCTCCAAACTGCGCAAAGATGTGGAGATCCTGAGGCACATCTTTGGGGTCCAGAAGTTTGACATGGGCATCATATGTGTGGACAACCGCAGGATTCAACGCTTCAACCACATCTACAGGAAAAAGAACCAGCCCACAGATGTACTGTCTTTCCCCTTCTATGAGGTACAACCGCTGTCAAGATTGATTTTATGGCTATATACTTTTTTCTCATTGACAAGAGGAAGTACTTGGCCTAAAATATGTTATTGTGTATAAACATTGGCCATTGACAGGTGGCTAGAGCATGTCTGTTTTTGCTGGCAGTTGAAGTAACCCATGTCTGAGCAGTTAAAGGAAATAATGGCTGAAGTTTGTTTCATTTCCCAAGGATCTGAGGCCAGGTAAAATCCCATGTGCCCTCCAAAGAGATGAGTATAACTTAGGCGACATCTTCTTGGGTGTAGAGTATGTAATGCAACAGTGTAAAGAGACTTCCCAGGATCTTCATGAAGCACTAACAGTAAGAAAGATGTGTAGTTTGATCACATTTATATCTGCAGCCTAGCAGAAATGTCATGAAGGTTTATTAAAATGGCTTTTTGTGGCGTTGCGCAGGTGGTCACTGCTCATGGGATCTGCCACTTACTGGGGTACAGACACGAAACTGAAGAGGAGTGGAAGGAGGTGGGACATATTTCATGAGAGTAGTATTGGCTGTAGCTTGTCTTTTATAGTTTATAAAAATATACAAACTGCTTGTAGGAACAAAACCAAAAGAGAAAACTAAGTAGTGATTAGTGAGTAGTGATATTCCCTTTACACTGGGTGGTGGACTTATTAAATTAACCATGTTGGATTTCAGTGTATTAAAAATATGTACATATCAATCATCCAGAGGCCATCAGGGTGAGAAACACATCTCTAAAAGTCTTGCACACATGACAGGCTACGTGCTAAATAAGTGGTTCCCAAACTTTTTCTGCCAGGCCCCCCCATCTTGTAGAGAAAAATATGTTTTAGTGTTCATTTTGCATAACAGTCCTGACTGTGCACTGACTAAATAATGTCACTATGTAAAGGGGGGCCAGTTGTCATACTTTTCATTCCAGTGAATACTACTCGGAGTAGGTTTATTTGTCTGTAATATAAACACCTTAACTGGCACTGACTAAATAATGTCACTATGTAAAGGGGGGCCAGTTGTCAAACTTTTCATTCCAGTGAATACTACTCGGAGTAGGTTTATTTGTCTGTAATATAAACACCTTAACTATCACCCCCCATTTTTGAACATAGATGTGAAAGTGCACCATCCAAACTAAAATTGTTATAATTCATGAACGCTTTTGTAATACAGACCTAAGGTTGGTCTCTTTTCAGTAGATTATTGCAGATCCAAATGTTCTATACTATTTTTTATTTTATATAAAATAAATTTTACAAAATATTTGTAATCCATAATTGTTTTAAATTTAAAGCCATATGTCTAATATGTTGTCTTCCAAATTTGAAGCGGATATCAAAAAAAAAAAAAAAGGTTCCTATGAAATTTTTAGGCATTATACCAACAATAGCCACTGGGTGGCACCCAAACTCCATTTTTTTAATGCAAATTTCTCAATATTACAAAATGCCACCAAATATGGAGTCTTGAGACTCAGTCCTTTCCAATGATATGCATTTTGTCAAGATTATAAAATATTTTGATTGTAAAATACCATAATAGATTTTGTAATATCACTTGACACCGCCCACTAAGGGGGAGGAGACTGCTAAAAGATTTTAAAGTACCATTCCATGGTAACGCAATGTTTGATTTCAAAATGGTTTTCACAGGATTAGTTTTGAGATTTTAAGTGATGATATCTGATTTATAAATTATATCTAATTTATGATGATTACATATGAAATTGCATTAAATACTATGGAAATCTACATTTATGAAAATTAGCCTTCTACCTCTATTATAGTTGACTATTGTCCTAATTTTTTTTTGTGTGCTCCTTTTACCCAAAAGCTATTAAAAAACCAATCTAATTTAATTTGAAATACAAAAAATGAAGTACATAATTTGCAAAAATATCCCAACTTAAGGTTTTAAAGTCACTACTGGGGGGCAACACAACTACACTTTTGCAACCCTCTACATTGCGAGTAAATCACTCGCATATGCGACTAAATCTTCACTCTGGCGACTAAATGATGTCTAATATTAGACAATTGCTAATAAATTCTCAGATTTTACTCACCAGTGTGTGAGTTGGAGGCTAAGTATAAGTTTAGCTCAGATATATTTTCACTCGCCGAACACTCTCTGACTGAGCGCATCAGAGTTTCACTCTCCGCCAAGCGATCTGTGCTGTTTTTCAGTTCATCTGAATGGATGTGCAACGCACAACGTACCGTAAACTCTAGTGTGAAGCGCACGACTCGCCGTCGCTTTGTTTCACACACACGCAGCGAGACAGGGAGAGAGAGAATTGACGCGCTGCCTATGCGCACTACATGTAAACGATATTCTTTGTTGTATTTTGCTGTCAAAATAACGGAGTTCCTTTGGAATTCTTCAGCTTTTAAGAACTACCGCTTTCTCCGGTAGTGGGCGAAACTAATGCGCAAACGGCAATCGCCTATTATAGTCCCTGTTTAGATTTCAGCAAATCAGTTCGAGCGAACGCACACAACCTGATTAATATTCATGAATCCAGTAGCTCATTAATCCTTGGTGCGTTTTATATTGTTCTTATTAGTAGAATTCGTATCATTATTATCTAATCAGTATTTTTGTTAGTTTTTCCCCAATTTTT